CCCGAACGGATGGACGTGGGGGGGGGGGCGTTAGGGTGCTTTTCTTATAGAGAACGATCTGATCTACAAGAAAGGTCCTATGCAATTTTCTCGTATCTCCAAGGGTTTAGAAGTTATTGAGGAAAAACTAAATTTCTTGTCAAAGGCGAAAGTGCTTGGCTCAAATATTGCTGCACCAGAGAGAAAAACTGGTTCGCAGCCGTGAACGCTGGATGGCGCCACGATGAAGTCTAAATTCATCGGAGCCAAGCACTTCGCTGCCATGAACGCTAGATGGCGCGACGAGCGCCAATCCAATACAAAGTCCAATTTGAAACAAAATTTTTCTTCAAAATCATACTTTGTATCAGGAGAATATGATAGCATTAGAGGTAGCACTAACTCCTGTTGATGACATCACGATTCCAAGAATTTATTAAATTTCTATTCTATCTTATTTCTACTTATACTAAGTGAAGATGACATGGAGAAGGGATTGGACGCGGATAGAGTTAAAGGTAAGTAACGAGACGTTTCAATTTCATTTAAACTAACTCTTTATTAATCAAACTTGTTTTTACTATAATTATTATTATATATCAAACTATTGGACGGAACGAAATCAAATGAGACGGACGATAAACATGGCGGCTGTCACCAGTGCTTGGTTCTCAAGGATCGTTCGAACTGGCAGTAAGTCGATGGCCTTTCTTCGTTCGTCGCTAATTGCTCGCGAATAAAGTCTGTACGACGATAACGCAGCAGTCACGTAGAGGTTAAAACGCGATGATTCCAAGTCGTAACGCGATTGGGGGGTGATTGCCGATCGTTAATTAACCTATGCGCTCATCCGACGATTCCGCGTAATTATGTAACGTTAATAGGGTATAATTTGTAATCCGGTGTCGATTGCGATTCTACGCAGAGCTGCAGAATGCTTGTCCCATCCATGCCTGTTACGCGATTCACGCGGTACAGGGTCGCGATTACTCGTCGCAACCGAGAGTCATCAAGAATCCGACGACGGCCAGCCTGAAGAGAGGCACCGGCGGTCGCAGCTCGTTCAACGGGATCGTTTGCACGGTGTTTGGATGCAGCGGATTCATCGGCGGTAACCTGTCCATTCGGCTAGGAAGGATCGGCAGCCAAGCAAGTATTTGATACGATACGATGCGAAACGGGCCCTCGTCGCGTCGAACGGTGATGTAAAACTTTTCCGTACAGCTGATTCTCCCGTACCGATGCGACCCTTATCATATAAAGGAATTAAAAGTAGGCGGCGATCTGGGCCAAGTTCTGTATCATCCGTTTCATCTGAAAGACGAGGAGTCGATAATCAGATGCATGAAGTACTCGAACGTCGTCGTCAATTGTATCGGTACGAAAAACGAAACGTCGAACTTTACCTTCAAACAGGTGCACGTCGACGGGGCCAGAAGGCTGGCCAGGCTCGCGAAAGAATGCAACGTGGAACGTTTTATACAGGTATCTTGTTTGAACGTGTCCAAGGACCCTGAGGTAAGTCGATTTATGAGCGAGCCAGAAACATGACCCGAAGGTATGGGAGACGTTTTGATTCTGATCCGGGGACGCGATCGTCTCCCGGTTTCCAGCCGATAATGTTGAAGGAGGGCTCGAAAATGCTGAAGACCAAGTGGGAAGGAGAGCAAGCTGTGAGGGAAGAGTTTCCCGAGGCGACCATCGTCCGACCGTCGGTGGTGTACGGACATCAAGACAGATTTATAGCGCACTATATGAACGACAAACGGTTGATCTACACCAAGTACGTAACGTCGGCGTGAAAACGTGGACCGTTGAAGTGTCGCGCGATAACTATACCGTCGGCCTATCCGTTCCGTTTCCAGCAAGATTCCATTGTGGGACGCTGGAGAGAAGACCGAGAAACAACCGGTACTTATCCACGACGTGATCTCGGGCATCGTGTCGATCATACGAAATCCGGATACAGCCGGGAAAACTTATCAGTTCGTCGGGTACGTCGTTGGTCCTCCGCACGCTCGAAGCTCTCGTTGTCTCACCCTTCTCTTCTCTCGTTGCAGCCCGAAGAGATACACGTTGAACCACATCGTTACGTCATTCTACGATCTAGCGATGAAACATTACGGTGAACGGAGGGTGAAGGTCATAAACATGAAATATCATCCGTACGCTTGGTTGAAGACCAGTGTCTGGGAATACATTTATACGGTACATCCGAAGGCGGATCTGTTGTGGGAAGTGCTAGAATTCGTAAGTGCGCTCCGACGATTTCCGCGATTCATCGCAAACTTGATGCGCTCGTACTCGCTCGTGTCCGGCGAATTAATCGGTTCAATTTTTTCGTGTGCAGCACCACACCAGCGACAAGATAGACCCCACGTTGCCGACTCTGGAAGATTTGGGCATCACGCCGACCACTCTCGAGTCGCAGATAGAATGGCAGATCAAACCGTACGAACACTGTCGGGCCGACATAGCGGAATTGGAAAGGATAACGATGCCTAAAGTCCAGTCCGTTCCGAAATGATCGCTACCGTTGCGATTAGAGTTCGCGTAAGGAAAGAATGTTGAACGATTCAGCTTTAAATAAACTAATTAGTAGACGTATGTATATACGTTATGTCATCTCCTTAGTCGCATGAGACGGTCGCCAAGGGTCGATAATCGTTTGTTTGCCATTTATTGGACGATAGATCGATTCTAACTACAATAAAGGGTTACAGCGTTTGAGTTACGTTAGGATATTTACCTTCCGCGGTAGACGGATGTTGGTAAAAAATATAAGCTAGTTTGGTCCTCGGTTACTATATGCTGACCGAAGGCCACGCAGACTTTACAAACGACGAGAGGGTACGTTCCACTCGCTCGCTCGCTCGTTCGCTCACTCTCTCTCTCTCTCTCTCTCTCTCTCTCTCCTCCTCCCTTCATAGGTAGTTTTAGTAAAAGCAAGATTCTTAGCCTCGATAGTTGAGACCCCCTCCGTTGGCTTGAGAAAAGAACGGGACGTTCGAGAATGGACCCCTGTGATCGTCGAAGCCGAACGAGAACGAGCCTTCGCCCAAATAAATACATACTTAGGTAAGTGAGTACCCTGCTTGTTGGTGCTTTCGACGCCGACACACACCGTGTATATTGCGTATCGACTCGATAGGTTCACGCGACCGATCTGCGCGAGCTGTACGCCGGTCGTAGCGAATCTACGCGGAACCTACGCGGTCGGAGATCTAAAGGGTCGGGTCGGTGTTACGATCGGCTCGCTCGAGCGCGTTTGGCCAGACAACGATGACGGCAGGCATGTCGTCGAAACGGAAGGATTTCGGGAGGAACAGCAATCTCCCCCGAGATACTCGGTACTATTGTATTTCCTAAGACGAAGCGCGGGATCGACCCGTATTATGTATATTCGTTTGCTGGGAATCGCGCGCCGACTTTGCTCTTACGCCTTACACAGTACATCTATCTACGCGCGTAAGTCGAACTTACGGATATGCTTATTTCCTACGTACTTTCATTGTCGTCGATAAAAATGACTCGTGTGCACGTCTGCTCGTTGATCCTTTGTTTCGCGCGCGACGTCGCTCACGCACACGCGTCGCAGGGCCACGACGGGACCGGTGTTGCTGCTGTCTGTCGAGCGGAGAACGCGCGAGAAGCGCGCAACGAGGCAAAGGACGTCAAAGGCGACGTACGGGATACATCGAAAAGGGATGCGGTTTCGTTGGCTCGATACAGGAATCGGTTGAAGCTCGTAAATCGATCGTTGAAAATTGTGCGAGTCGAGAAAAGAGACACGATGAACGCGAGAGAAGAAAACGAGCCGCGTACTATACGTATGTGTACTCGAGCACGCGACAAAATTCGGGTCGGAGAGAAGCGTCGTCGAGTACGAGAAGCGGTTCGCTCGAACAGATTCGCCGGAAGCGGTGCGACGAGTAGGGTGCTTCTCGGCCGACCCTCGTGCGCGATTGCTACGTTCGCCGTTAACGTTATTTGCGTCAGACGTTCTCTCAACCCCGCCCCCCCCCACACACACACACACATACACGCACACGCACACGGCCGAGACGAAAGTGGAGCGGGAAAATTGAAGAGGGAGCAGACAGGTGTGGGGGAAGGCGAGGGTAAGGGAAGAGAACGGGATTCACTGAAAGAGATTGGCGGTGGTCGAGAAGAGGAGAAAGATGAAAAGCGTGGTGGGCAGGGTGAAAACGCCGACGACGCCGGAGCCGAGGTTGTCCTGTACCACGTTGTCGTGGCACCTGGCGACCAGGTCGAAGTCGACCAAGTTCATCGGCTTGTTGTTGTACTCGATGGGCGAGATACAATAATTCCTGGTCTGAAACTCGACGACGGAACCGTTGACCAGGTCGCTCTCGAGCACGGTGTGGGCCTGGCAGTCGCAGGGGAAATGGTTGTCGACGGCGCTGATCGAGCTCACTTCCAGGCTTATGTCCCTCGGATGACGCGGCGCCTCCAACACGTGATTACCGTGAAATCTGAGCATCTCCACGTAGTTCTCGTAGCGCAACGAGAACTTCTCGATCAGGTCGATCTTGTTGTTGAGCACGTTCAAACGGTCGACGCGCGTCAGCCCGGTGAACGCGTCCTTCTCGATGACGCCCAGGTCGCTCTCCTGAATGTTCAACGAGTGAACGTGAGAGAGGCCGCGGAACGTGTAAGATTGTAGGGAGGACAGGTCCATGTAGGTGAGTTTCAGGAGGCCGACGTACTGGAGACCGTCGAACGCGTCCGGCTCGACGATCCTGATCCCCGACGGGAATATCAGCCGCACGACGTTCGTGAGACCGCGGAACGCGTGGCCATGGATCCTCAGCAACGGGTTGTTGGTCAACAGGATCACGCGGACGTTCGACGTGCCGGTAAACGAGGATTCTTCGATGTACCTTATCTTGTTGTTAGCCAGCAGCAGCATGGAGACGTTCTGGAGAGCGGCGAACGAGAACTTCTCGATGCACGGTAGCGGCGTGTGTTGGATCGAGAGCTCGCGCAATTTGCCGAGGCCACGGAACGCGAACGGTCGTATGCTCGAGATGTTGTTACCATCCATGGTCAACTTGCGCAGGACCCGGAGACCGGCGAACGCGTCCCCCTTTATCACCGGGAAATTGTTCTTGGTCAGCGACAGCTCCTCCACCGTCGGCGGAAGATACTGGCTGGGAACGTCCTTCAAACCACCTTTGTTGCAGAGAACCTGCGAAACCCGAGTTCATTTCCAGCGTACTCTACTCTCATTTAGCGCGCGCGCTACCGATTTACCTGCTTCGGGGAGAGGCAGATGCATTCCGCGGGACAGTTCCAGCTTCTCGCGGTGGTAGTTTCCTGCTCCGAGGTGAGCCCCGGACTCAGTGTCGCTGTCCACAGCAGGTAATAGACGCAGATCTACGGGAAGAGAACAGGAAAGGACAGTGACGACCACGACGACGACAACGACGACGACGACCACGACGACGACGGAGACGACCAAGACCGTAACAAGGTACGACTCGCGTGAGAGCGAACGATCTGTACCTGCGCTCTGCAATACATCAATCGCAGAGTTTTTAGGGCGCATGCCTCAGCATCCAGGGAAACGTAGCTGCCGACGACGTCCCGACGTGTGCGTCGTCCGCGAAAGGGCCAAAATCGTTGCAGGTGACGGTCGCTGGATGGCTGATATTGGCGGAACGTCGATTCGCCAGCCGTTGGTTTCTCGCGAACCTGGTCTCACGAAACACAGCGACGACGACGACGACGCCTGGTACCCCGTGCGTGCCCTCCCGGGTCCGAACCGGACGACGAGGCGAACGATCGAACGAGTACGACGAAACGGGCCGGAGCACGAGAAATTTCGCTCTCCGCGGTCGGTGGCCGCGTTCACCGGCTGGGCTCGAGGCTTTATTTCTCCTTGGCCACCCTCTATCACCTACCCCCCTCCCCCCGGCGAGCGATCTGCGCAAGACCATAATTATTCTCTCCGTGCGCGTACTCTGGAACGAGACGACACGCTCATTAGAGGGATACAGAAGGATAGAACCGATACCTATGCGTGTGCAGCTGTTCGCAGCAGACGCTGGGTAGCGGCAGTAACCCTGAGAAACGCCGAATCGAGAGCGTATCGCCCGATGTATCGCTCGATAGCGACTGCTTTCCCAAGCGATACCAACAGATACCCTTCGTTCCCGGGGTCCCCGTTTCCACCCTTTCGCGAATCGCACGTTTCCGCGTTCGCACTTATTCTTCTTCTCTTCACCCCTCTGCCCCCGGTCTCTCGCCCCCTTTCCGTCTGGTCTCTGTTCACCCGGATCGGTTCGCGACGATCGCAGCGAGTCGCGGGCGACTCGATCGAACTGGAAACGGCGGCGCCGTCAGCCGGCACGATGCAACTGCTGCTACGCGCGACGTACGACGAGTTTACCGAAAATTTATCTTTCCTGTTCGTTCGCAGAGTCGTACAGCCAAGAGAGAAGCTCGAGATCGAACAACCGCGGCAGGACACGGGGAGAGGAGGGGGACTTTCGGACAGATCGACGAGACCGTTTCTCAGATCAATATATGTATGTGTATTTCGTAACAAACTTGTACAAGTCTAATAACGTCCGTTCTCCACGCGGTGTTAGGGGGAAACAGACCCTTAACGCGAATCACGCTGGGAACTTATATAACTATAATCGAAAGTGCGATCTCACTTGTGCACGTAGCTGTGCAACGTACGTACAATCGGGCGCGCGTGTACGCGTGCGTGCGTGCATTTATTCGTGTATATAATTAACGTAGAAAAAAAGGTCAGTCTTAAAACGTAATACGAGGCAACGGTTGCCTTCGTCGTCCATCGAAACCTGTTCGTTCCCCTGTTCCGCGAGGCGTTAAAAAATTCGCGTCGCATCGCGACGACAGTGTCGCGCGTCGTATAGAGAGATCGAACGTTACAAACAAATTGATTTCTGAACGCGGATTCTCATCATCGCGAATATTTCGACGTGTCTTCGATCACCTCCTATACCTTTAAATTACGACTTACGCGAGACTCACACGCACACGCACACGCACACGCACACATTCTCTGCTCTGCTCCGAATTTTCCTGAGTCTCTCGTACATGGCTATCGGTGGTATTATCGGTCGGTTCGCGTATATAAATACAATTGTTTCGGTACAGGTACAGCAGCGGTGCGGGTTCGCAATGAAAAGGAGAGCGCTCGCCGGGAACAACGGGCCGCGGAAACGGACAAAATTGACGAGGATCGTTTCCATTACGAACCCGATTCGATTCTATCACTTATGGAAAACTAGGACTCTACGCGTCTATGGAGGTAATACAGTTTTGAGGCAGCTTTGGTTTGTACTCGTCTATAAATATTCCTGCCGTCCCTGCCGTCACGGAGGCACGATAAAAGTAATGAACAGTCTTCGTGGTAAATAGTCGCGGTATTCCCCGTTTGTACTATCGATCTGAGAATCATGGGCGTACGAGATCGTACGCGAGATCCATCGCGTACGGTTAAAAAACAACTCCCTTCGACTGACGCCGAAGGGTCCCCGTGTGTACGTGTCACCTAAAAGGTTACCTGAGATCCGTGGTAAAATCTAACGCGAATCGAACGTGTCGACGCCGGAGACTGCAGCTACGCGAACAACGGCGGTCTCGGCACTGTCCTCGACGCGTTCGAAAGAAAGAACTCGGTCGAGTTCTCCTCCACAACTATACATATATGTATGTGTGTGTGTGTATATATATGTATATATATATATATATACCCGTTAGTTAAAATTTAAATCTGTCTCATATAATATAATATACTTTGTATAACTCGTGTACGCGCCTGTGTGTGTATATATATATATATTCGGTATATGTTTATAATCGAGCTTTCGACGCAACGACTTCGGCTCTCTAAGTATCAGTCTTAAAGTTAATGATCGAACGTCGCGACGTTCGTTGTACAATGAGGTATATCGTTTTCTATTGTTCGTTATTATGCGCCAATAGTTTGAGCAATATTGCAGCTGTATCCCAGGACCATTCGTCGACGACGATAATGTAAACTCTTAGAATTAGTAACGAATGAACAGCGATCGAGCGTACGATCCCGAGCATTGTTTCCATCTCCGTTTCTCTCCTTCCCCTGGACAGGGGTACAGACGTACGCGTGATCGGCGTTCTTTCGATAGCATTTAATGCTACAGATATAGGAATATTCTTCTCTTAAAAAAGGAAAACAAAATGATGAACATATGATAAAATTTCTCTCTCCGTCCGTTCCCTTTCGCGCGACGCGTTCCTACGATCCCCCGGTACTAATAATAATCATCTATAAAATCTATAAAAATCGATCGTGATCGTGGAACGATGCCGTCGCGTAAATTGCAAAGCCAGAGCCGGAAGCGAGAGGATCGAATCGCAACGATCGCGATTATTTAAAGAGAACGCGCACGGTTCACTGGTTTCAAAAGTGTTTAAAGCTTAACGCGGTCCGAGATTCGAGCCGAGCGTCGATCGGACGCGAGAAACAACGAGAGTAACGGACACGCGTAATGAATAATTATATCGATTATAGAGCGGAACGATCGCGATACTTTTCCCCCGGCCGAGTATGTCCGCGATAATAATTACGTTTTAACAACGTATTCGAGAAGGCACTTGGAGCTCTCGACCGTCGTCGCCGTCGCGTCAGGCTTTCGACAACTTTGAAACGCGAACGATCGATTACACTCATCATCAGTCTCATGATTCCGCAACGTGCGTCTATCAGTCTTATACTCAAAGGATAATTGGAGAAAAGTGGGATTCGGTCGAGCCCCGTATATGTTCCGCTCGGGGACAGACCCAGTCTCGGTTCGTTTAAATTTAACGATTATTTGCGATTGCAATTGTCGGTGTCGTCTTCCTCTTGGTTGGCCGGGAACGCCGGCGGTACTATCACGCGGATGTCGGTCTTCCGACCCACGGAGAGATCCTCCACTTGATCCTCCTCGTTGCTCTGTTGTTTCGCGGAATGCATCACAGGGCTGGCTACGCGGGAACGATCAAGTGATTCTCGATCCACGGAACCGGACTTGTAAACCAGCGGATCGAGCACGGAGCCGCCCTCGACTACGCTGCCCGCGTCGGTCTCGGTCTCCGACGTGGCGCCGCCGCCGCCACCGCCGCCGCCGCCGCCACCGCCACCACCGCTGGTTCCGTAAATGCTGCCGTTCGAGCCACCGATACCGTAGGGGAAACACGCGCCGCTACCGTTCGAGCCGCGCTTGAACGGCCGCGACGTCGGGATCCCCAGCTTCTTCACCTTATCGTAGAGAGTTCGAGAGGGTACCCCGTACTTACGCGACGCCTGAAGGGCGCTCATTCCCAACCGCACGGCCTCGATCGCAGACATGATGTCGTCCCGGGTGTACTGCTTGTATCGTTTCCACTCCGGCTTCTGGGCCGACGCGTAGTTCACGTTGCCTGTGTCGGGAGAACACACGAGAAACAGATTACTCCGCCACCGTTCTCGCGCCGTCGCCGTAGCGATTCGAGCCTCGTCGTTCTTACCCTGCTTGACGTCCGAAGGATAGGACCGAGGCGACGTCGACTGTTTCTCGTCCTCGTCGACGATGGTCAGGTCGGTGTACGGGCTGTGAGCGTGTTCCCCCTGCGCCAGATCCGTGCTGCCGCGTCTGTCGTCCGCGTTCGACGAACCGTTGCTGTTGCATCGAAAGTGACTCTCGTGACTGTCCGGGTGAGGCAAGAGCGGGATACCTTGCGAGCTGTCCGCGTGGCCGTGCCCGTGCCCGTGACTCTGGCCCTGACCCAGGACCGTCCTGAGGATCGGCGTGTCCCTGTGGCCGAACGGCACGTTCGACGACTTTTTGCGTTTGAACGGGGAAGTGTCGAAGCCGTTGTCGCTGCCCGCGTACGATTGCCCGGAGGACATGCAGGCGTGCTGCTGGTGGGTCGGCGTCGGACGATGATGACTGGAGCTGGACGCGTGAGACATGGGCATCTCCGAGAGCGGCCACATCGGCAACGGCATACGGCTGCTGGCTCGCTCGCACTGCACCGGCGACGACCTCCTGTACAGGACGTTGTACGTGTTGGTGGAATGAGGGGGAGATGCGTGTCCGCTGCTGTGTACCGCAGCGCTGCTCGACGTGCTGGTGGTTATAGCCGGAGGAGGTGACACGGAAGTCTCGACTTCCTCCCGGCGACCTTGAGAACCGTTCTCCTCGACGAGTCCTTTCACCTTCAGCACCTCAGCGATCTTCAACAGTCCGGCCAGCTGTTCTTGGGCGACGTTCACCTCGCCCCGATACATGTAGTCCAGGATGGCCTTGATCTCGGAGTATTTCACGTCCTTCAGCACGACGATCGGATGCTTGCACGGTAGATCGATGAAAAGGGTCTGGAAATAGGAGGAGCAAGCGGCCAGGACCATCTTATGGCATTTCACGGAGGCCCCTCCGTCCACTGCCAGCGTGACGTCGGTGAACGCCTCGTTCCGCAGTAGCTCGTCGAACACCGTCAGCAGGTTCGATCGATGATTGTTCCAGCGCAGGCAGTACTGTTGCGACGTGCTCGCCATTTCGATCGGTCCACGAGATCTAGAAGAAATCGGTCACTCAACAACTGGGACACGTGAACCGAACGGGGAGACCCGCCCGAGCGCGTTTACGCATTTCAACGATTTCGTCGCCCAGCGAGAACGGAATGTTGCCCTCTGACCGTCACGCGTGCGCTACGTACACACGTAAACGTAGATAGCGATCCGCGCGGCACGGCGTGAGTCACGCTCGGGCTCCTCCGGCGATTCGTTAGAAACGCGATCGACGATCACCCTCGCGGCTCGATTAGAACTTGGACGATTCTGCCGCGGCCGACAGTCTCTCCTTTACACGATCGCGCAAACGCGATCGTCGCCGAGGGACGAGACTCGCCAAGTTTGAAAATCTACGACCGCTGATCAGAGTCGTTACTCACTTTTGAGATCGTCTCGAGGCATTCGCTCGAGTCCCTGTCGTTTCGTACACGGGACGCGACATTTCTGCGATACGGGACGGACAGGGGTGAGGAAACATTGAAACGCGGTTTTAAAAATCAGCAACGACTCTGAATACCGGCCCGTGTCCCGGACCGTAACAAGGTACCGAGCGATCTGGGTATAGCTGGAGAAGACTTACTGGCAAACCGTACGGGATCCCTTCTGCCCCGAGAAACGCTGACGCCCAGCTGTTTAAATGGCCGCCGAGGAGACGGCGACGCACGATCGGTTCGTCGAGGCGTGCACTCGTATCCGTCCGTGTTCGATTCTCTCGCGAGGGCAGGAACAGGAAGAAGAAGTACGCGTGGAAAAAGAAGAAGAGGAGCTGGAGGAGGAGGAGGAGGAGGAGGAGAAAAAAAGGAAAAGCGTTTGCCGCGAGAACGCGCTACCCCTCAATGAACGCGCATGATGCGCGGGGGCGCGTGCGTACGCGAAACCGCCGAGAACGAGGTCGATCCTTTTCGCATCCTTGCACGATCTTCACAGAGTCTGTTTCACCATTCCTCCGCGACCGAACCCTGCCGCGCGTACTGCGCGATTCGTCGTTGACCCGTGTCCCTCGTAGTCGTCGTCGCCGCTCTCTCGGTTCTTCTACTCCATCGGACGTTCCCTTCCGGTTCGGTCGGCGACGATTTCACGTCGATCACGGGCGATCGACCAAGGGTGGAAAAAGAGAGAGAGAGAGAGAGAGAGAGAGAGAGAGAGAAAAAAAAAGAACAGGCGAACGACGGCGAACGCGCGACGCTAACACGAGTGCACACCCGCGACGCAACAGCGACAACGATTTCGAACCAACAGTCGGCGAACGCCGAACGGGAAACCCTCTCCTACGGCCTACTCGGCGACCACTGACGCGACTTGCCGCCCCGTGTGCGTGTCGAAGATGCGATAGGCAAGGCCCCAGACGGCGGCCTGGTCACGGTCATGGCTCTCCTCACTCGTGTAGGGAATAGGACAGGGAATACGGGAAACGGGGAACAGGGGTGGCAACGATGCGCGCGTCCGTGTGTCGTTTCATCGTTCTCGTGTGAGTGCGGCCAGTGGCGTAACCGGTGGCGGTGTTCACGCGACGTTCGGCGCCAAATCCACTTTTAAACTGGATGCGAAACACGACGCGCTCGCGCGCCAGACGAACGCGTCGGCGACGATCGAACGGCTCGTTCGTTCGTCGCTTTCGACGGAAAAAGGGAGCACTTGCGTAAAAAAAGGTAAAAAAAAGGTAAAAAGTAGGTAACGGCGAGGTTACGCCACTGAACGGCACGCACAACGAGACCCGCGCAGAGGCATCCTCGACCCTGGTCGCACGATCGGCCAATCGCGCTGCGTCTAGGCCAATATCCTGCGGTCTCCGGGAAATGCCGAGACGCGTATATACGCACGATGCACTCATGCACGCGTGCACGTTTGCACACGCCGGCATGTGTGTGCGCGCTGAACGCGACGTGGTGTGGGTGCGTACCCACGTCCTTCGCCCGCGTATCGGTCCTCGACTCGCTCGTATAGTCGTCGCGTTTTAGATCTCCCTTTCCTCGCGACTCTCCGACGAGCTTGCTTCTTTCCCGCATTCCCTTCGTTCGAATCCCCGACGCAAACTCTCCCCCGCCTCCTCTCTCATCGAGGGTCTGTCGCTTCTTCTTTTACGCGTTCGTCCCACGGACGATACAAAGAATCGTATCGTGGAACGAATCGACCAAGAGGAAACCACGTTTCGTAGCCGGGACGACGGGAAGGTCGACGATGAACGCCGCTATATTCGTACGCTGCTGTTGAAAAATCGTAAACGATACGAGTGCAACGAACCTGCCTGACCGCGTGTTCCTCGCGTGTTCGTTCTCGAAAATTGCCACCACGCCCTGGCGTCCACCGATCGCGCCTGCGTCAGAGGTCGTCGAAAATTTTTCCCATGCTCTCAGGTGCTTCGCCGGGCTTCGTCAGGGTGTACCCGCGTACCCCGCGATCCCCGCGTCCACGCGCGAATCGACCGACGACTCACTCGTATCGTATGCATACCAGTTTCCCTCCGTTTAAAAATTCCTCGTAAAAACTACGTTCTTGAACGAGCTGCAAAGTCCAAACGCGGACAGACGATGGAAAGTTCGGCGATCCGCCTCGCCCTTGTCCATGGTTCACGTATTACGCGTGCATCGAATCAATGGGACTCGCAAAGGGGCAAAATCGTGGCTGGGAGACCAGGCGAAAGACGCGCTGCTGCTCGGCTCGTCGTCTCGCGTAGTTCGTACGGGCGAAAGTGTAGAAAGGAACGATCAAAGCGTGGGTGGCGATAAAAGAAACTCGTTTTGCCACGTTCGAGATCCGAAACGCGGAGGCGACCGAAGAGACGGAGAGCTTCTTTCGTCTCTGCTGACTCTACTTTTAACGAAGCCAGACTTTCAGGCTCTGGTTCCAGATTTAGCGGCCGTGTCCGCCTTGCCGTTGCGTCTCGTTTCCACGGGAACCGATCTACGTCGACGAAAACCGCGGAACGAACAATTTCCCCCTGAGCCGTCGCGAACGCTCGAGAGCGATGCGTTCAACAGGAGCTTCCAGATTCTCGAAAGATAGGAACGTTTATCGTTATCATTGTTACCGTGACGTTATTTATCATCGTCATCATTATTATTATTATTATTATTATTATTATTGTTATTATTATTGTTATTATTATTGTGTAGCGACGTCTGAACGGGCGACGTTGCACATTATCTATCGTGAGCAAAGCGACGATACGACCGTTCGCTTATCGCCCGTAGAGATAGCGCGGAAGTATTTCGGTTCCGTATTCTCGCGTATTTCGTTGGTTGGAAAAAGCGGTCGAGTCCCGAAAAAGATCGTGTAGAGAAAGATGGTGGCGGGCACACGAAGAGTAGTAGAACGTGTTGCGTCGAATGCGGTTCCCCGTTGCGAAGGAAACGACCGAACGTTGTTTATCCGCCATGCGCATCATCCCCCTTGCGTGGACGTGAAACACGAATAAAAAAACTATGCGCCCGTGTAGTTTTCTACGAGGAGGGGAGTTTCACATGGGCCCGTTTCTGAGCCCACTCCGAAAAGGTGGATGCACGCGGCTTTTCAGCGTCCCCCCCGACTCTCCGCGCTCTCCTCCGTCCTATCACTGACCCCGGAGGAACCTGTTTCTCCGATCCTACCTCGGCCGACTGCTTCTTTCGAGAATCGTTTCGAAACCTTTGCTCGGGGGTCGTACGAGCGGAAAAAACAGACGCGAATTCGCGTGATAAGCGACCAGGAAGTACGAAGAAGACGACCGAGCGAATGCGACGACGGTGAATCAGAGTGGCACGGCCACGGGACGCATTCGATGCGGAAAGTACGAGCAGAATGAATGATCGCGCGGTAAATAGAGGCGGGTGTAGGTAGGCTGAACGAGAACGAGAAAAACTCGGTTTCACGGAATAATTGCACTTGACGCTCGGAGGGATTCCCAACGGACCCCGTCGACGATGTTACGCGCTATTGTACGAGTAACAATGTATCGGCAGGTAGCAGCCGATCATCGATCGGGGGTCTCCCCGGTCAATGGCCTCTTTCTATTCACGGCATCGCACCGTACAAGAGGTGCCGATGCGGCGATCGAAATCGTCGCCGAATCTCTCTCCGTGCTCGTCTACGTATACGCGTCGTACGTGAACAAACTGTGTACGCGAATCACGAATCGATTCCTGAAAGGTTCGAGCGGCTGTTTCGTATCTCATCGAGATTCTGTTCCACGGATCGGTGGCCAACAAGCCAACCAACCTTCTCGGTGTTGCGATAAAACAGGAAGACTCGAGTGCACACGGATACGCAATACGCGTGCAGCTGTAGGTATGCCCACGGCACCCCCGCGCGCGGGGCCAAGGTTTATCTGTGGTAGACGAGTGTCAGTGGGTCGACACCCGCAAACCGGTCCTGATCACGTGGAATGTCGTGCGATGTTGCCACGTATATGTACGATTTCTCAAAAGTGCATCCCACCAGCCATCCGGTCCCTTCCAGCCCGTCGGCCCATCCGACCGAGGAGCGATTCGAGCCAGGGCCTGCTGCGTACACGCAAGCGACCACGCACGCACGCACGCACGCACGCACGTATAATCGCTCTCTCCGTTGCCCCTGCCATGCTCCCCTCTCGTCTCCACTCCTCTCCTCTGACCCTCTCGACTTTCGTACGATTTCGGGAAAACTGACTCCGCCGTGGTTGCGGGTTTCACGAACCAGCCGCCCGAACACACGTGATAGGTATTGGAAAGCCGAGCGTTCCAAGCGAACGATAAACGGCTGTTTCGTCGAGTGCTTCGACGTCTCTCCCGACACGATCCCTATTCACCCCCTCTTGATGTTTCGTTTCGCAACTGTACGCCTACGTTTCTCGATGTAACTACTATCTCTCTGAAATTTCGGATTCGTTCTACTACTCTCGCTTCGCAACCGTCGAACGACTCCAGCCGTGAGGCGAGTCGCGAAACACCGAAAGCGAAAGCTATTAGGTATAAGCAAGGAGGGACACCGAGCATAAGTACACGTTTCGTCGCCTAAACGCGTACGCATGTACGTTCATACGTAAGAACCATCGAATCGGCTGTGCGCTACGCGATCGTTGAGAAGGACGGGAATACGGCTTGGTCCGTTGGCGCGGTTTGGAAAGTGGCGCATAATTTATCTCGCATCTATGCGCGCGCGTTATTCCTATTCCCAATTCGTTGGACAACCCTACCGTTCAAGGTCGCCCTCTCTCCGTCCCTCTTTCCCTCTTCTCTCGTTCTCCCGCGCCCTTTTTTATGCCCGATCCAATGCCGCGTTATGGACGGAGTTTTTATAGCGAAGCGTCCTTGAATCCCGACAATGCGCCCGCGGTGTTTCCTGTGCGAGGCACCTGTCGTATCTGGCTGCCCTTTTCTTCGTCGAACCCGACGCGATCCGATACGATCGATGCTATTATTTCGTTCTCTTTTTTCCTTTCTTCGCGGCCCGTTAGCCTCGCGGAGGAAGCGCGGCGGGTCGCGAGCCGTGTCCAAAAATAGCCGGAACGCACTGCGAGACTTCGACCTCGTGTGCGCATATAAGTGGCAGGGTTTCGTCGTATTTTTCTGCCCTTCCGGGAGATTCACCGTGCGAAATTATCGAAAACGAAACCCGTAACGGGGGAACGATTCTTCGAAGCTGAAACAGACAGGGTGCATTCGCGAGATCCGTTTTTCCACTCAGACGATGTGCGAATAAAAGTTACGAGACTGTGTGAGTATACACAGAGACTCGTCTCGCGCCGACAATTACCTACATTTACCAATATGTGCCGACGTCTCTTTCGACGACGGTTCTTTGTTCCGCACCGACGGAAAAAAGTTCCTTGCCCTCAGCTGGTACTACTACCACCGAGTCTCAGAGGCCGTGACGTAATCTGCGTGCACGCGCGCATGGGCCGCAGATCGAGCCGGCAATTGGAAGCTGTGAAAGTCGTAAGGACGGAGAAATGGTCGTTGCTCATTTCGAACGACCGGAGAGGAGTCGTTGAACCAGATCCGCGGGCATCGACCGCGAACCGAGTCCAACGTGTCCGGCAGTCCGGTGAGTAGCAGAGGCCCTCCGCGAATAGAAACCTGTTTCCTCGGCGTCGACGATCGCGGATCGTCCACTTCCACCGTGCCTTTTCTTTGCCACGGCCGGCGATCCCGGCCTCCGGACACCCCTCGGGATTCGACTCTCGCCATCGTCTCGTATGTGTGTTACAGGGTCAATCCCGAACGGAACTTGGAGAGGAACGAACTGGCGAGTTCCGCGAGTACCTATCCAGCATCCTGAGTAAAATGTTCGATATGTCGCGTTCGTGGCTGCATTCCACGATCGTGCAGCAGAGACAGGTTTTGCATGCATGTCGACAATGTCGAGTACGGCATAACGGTCACTCACGCTATCGAAACTTCGTGTAAACCAGTGTAAACCAATATGGCTGACTACGGCTCAGCTGGGCTGAACGCGCGCGCCCTCCCAGAGACACGGCGAACGCGGAGAGTGCGCGGAAACCTTCCTACTCGTAACGTAACGGTTGATGCACGTTCTCGATTCGCATTGATTCACGGTTATGCGTTCGCGTCGGTTTACGCGAAGAACGTCACTGAACGCAACCAAACGCAACTGAACGTCACTGGAACGATACAAAACGTAGCGAAACGTCGCTGAGCATCGAATGGTTCGAAGGAAGCCCGAATCGTACGAACATCTGCGAGCGTATCGACGATAAAATGGACACGTTGGTAAGGAGGATAATTTCCGACTCGGATGAGCGATTCGCAAAGAATATCGCCACTTTCCAAGAAAGTGTAAGTGTCCCGATAAACTAGACGTTCGTAATTGAAAGTGTATGCGAGACTCAAGTCGTTCCTCTGTTGTTTTCGCACTGTTCCCAGTATGGTAGCAGAGTCGCTTTCCAAGAGTTGAACGACGATCGGTTACGCGAAAAGTTATGGGAGGCGTTGTTCCTTCGACTGTTGGACGATTCACGATCGTCCGATCGTTACGACTGCTTGTCCACTCTGAGAATACTTAGGTAATAAGTACGTGATACCGCTATTACCGTAGATACGCGTGGTATCTCGTGGCTCTATTAGTCGTTCTACTGCTACGCAATGTCCTTTCAATTTGAGAAATTTAGGAGCAACGAACGTGAGGCATTGTTGAAATTGTTTTTTCACCTCTATAGAAACTGGTAGCGATTACGGTCTCGTAAAAATGTTATACCTGGTTCCGTTGTGTCCCGATTTTGGCGTAACTCTAAAGACGCGTTCACGAAGGATCCGTTTTAGCGTGTCTCAAGCTCCACACAGATGTCCATACTATTCTTGTACTCTTACACAAGTTCCACCGTAATAGATAAACGCTACTTTTGACGCCGCTTCGCGTTATTGCTTTCGCCGTATCTGTTCACCTATAGACACCTATAGCTTTTCGCCGCGCCGCCGTCGCGCCGCATCGCCGTTGAATAATTTCATAGTTGTTCTCTGTTAACGTAGCAGAGACAAAACGAACTTGAACGAATTGATCACGGACGAGAGGATAGACGTTCTGTTAGATATCGCGGATCTGAAGGACGTGAACTCGAACGGACCAACTACCTGTACGAACGGTGAGCGATCCGTCGATGCTGTCACGACGCGGCGACGACAAATCGGCCCGATTATAATCATTCTCGTTTTGCAGTTACCGTCGAGGCTCTCAAATTGCTGTGCAATTTGATATATAACAGCACGCGGCTGCAGCGACTGTTGCCGAGGACGACGACCTGCCTGCGATGTCTGATCGAACGTATGAGAAAATACGATGACGACGACTCTGTTCCACTCGAGGTGATGCTGTTCGACACGAGAATCGTGTTCCTAATTACGGCTCTGAATGTTGCCACGAGACGGATAATTAGGACGGAGTTGAAAGGGGACGAGTGTTTGATAAAAATGCTGGGGAACGTGAGACAGCGAGCTGGATCGCGCGCCATCGACCACGACGGCTCGACGTTGGCCTGCGAAGTTTTAAAAGCGTTGTTCAATCTATACATAAATTTCGAAGAGACGGAGGAAGAAGAGAAGACCGAGGAGCTGGTCTCGATTTTGTATAAATTATTGTTGTCCAAGTGCAAGAATGAGGACGAGCTTCAGAGGTATCATCTCTTTTCGTTAGGAATGCGCGAGGCCGTTCGAATCAATCGTTCGATTTCTGCTTGCAGCAACATCGTAAATCTATTGACGGTGATACCACGCGATCGTTACTCGGCCATCGTTCCGCCCACGGATGAAGTACACGAGCGAGTGTTCGAAAAGCTGGACATGAGCGCGGTGGCGGTCCTGTTGAAGTTTCTCGACGAAAGACTGGATCGTAACGAAGATCTGATCGGAAATTTAAGTCCGATCGTCACTGCATTCGTGAAAATGGCCAGAGCGGAAAGGCCGATACGGAAGTACGCGAGGCTACGGGTAAGAGAGAATATGGGCGCGAGCTTCGAGCCCATCGTTCCAAGCGACGTTACGATAAAAGACGTTGCCTGTGTTACACGTTTAGATTTTACCTCCTCTCAGGGATGTGATGCACCGGCCGGAAGAAGGGACCACTCTCAGAGCGAAACTGTGTAAATTACTGACCTCTCCTGTGACCGAAGTGCGAGATCTCGTCGCGGAATTTCTGTTCATACTTTGCAAGGAGAACGGTAATTGATCGTCGCGCGTTTTATTCGCGAGTCGCCAGAATCATCGAAAGATTTTGTTACATACGTTCCAGTTTCTCGCATGGTCAAGTACACGGGATACGGGAACGCTGCCGGTATGTTCGCGAACAAAGGATTACTGGGGGCGAGCGGGAAGAAGCCGGTGTACTCCTCGGAGTCGGAGGACAGCGAGACCGAAGAGTATCTCAGGCACAGAGAGCAGTGAGTGCCGACGAGTCTTTTCCTCCCTCCCTGCCTCCCTCCCTCCTGTGTCACGATCGTAACGATGCTTGTTCGCGTTCGAGGATCAATCCCGTGACTGGTTGTTTCGAGTCCCCGAAACCTGATCCCTTGGAAGGAATGACGGAGGAACAGAAGGAATACGAAGCCTTGCAGCTCGTCGGCCTCGTCGATAAACTGACAAGGTCGGTACTCTCGCCTGTCCGCGCACCACGCGATCGTGTACCGAGTGAATATTTTTGTTACGACAGGGGAGGACTGGTGCAGCCGTGCAGAATAGGAAACGACGGGAAGCCGAAACCGATCGAACACGTCCTGGAGTTACGAGAGGAGTCACCGGAACAGCTACACGGTCGTCGTACCAGCGCCGATGATTCCGATTCCGATTCCGATTGAACGGCGAAGTCGACTCGGGTGGCGCTTCGGATACCAAAGAACGATTAACGAAATAAAGAAATGTAGACGACCGCGCTCGAGACCGACTCAATTCTTCGTACCTAGACACTCCGTCCTCCTACGCCCTCACGACGAACGAGATTCTTCGTTTCGTTAATAATTCGAGCACAGGCAGATCGTTGACAGGAAGCGGGTGAAACATCGTAGAGTCACTCGAACGTGGAGCGGTACAGAAAGACGGGCAGTATTGGTTTGCTTACTTTATTGAAAAAAGAACAAAGAACAACGTTACAAATTAAACAATTGGCAGGAAATAAAAAATATAACAGTTGTTTCCAAAATCACATGAAATATTTTAAACATCACTTACAATTTTGGTAAATTATGTTATGTGCTTTCGTGAGCATCACAATATGATTTATTATTGCATTTTGCAGCCTATACGCAGATACGAGAACGTACGCTTCCTACATGTTTCAAACAACTTTATTAGTCGAGTAACTCTCTTTTTTTTTCCATTTTATTATCCTTTTCGTTTCTCGCTTGGGAATTCGTTTCGCGCGGGTCGCTCCGCGACGCCGTACCGGCGGGGCCGATCACGTCTTTACCTTCAAAAAATAGCTTTTCTGACACGCGCGATCACGAAAACAAAAAAGAAACAGCATTATTGGCGCGTGGAAATAACGGAACGAACAGGAGCGTCGATCGCGATCGGCCGGACCGCGGTCGTTTTTTCTCCGTTCGTTTCAGCTGTCGCGTCGCGGATGTGAACGCCGGAAACGAGGACCCAAGCATCGCGCGCGATTTCTCGCAAAATTTTTATACATACACATACCTGTATACGCGCGCGCTTCTGCATATATGTATACGTCTATACATATACACGTACATGTAAGTAGCAAATGTTTTCGATACATCTTTAAATATATAATATTAATAGTACAGTATCGTAGATTAAAATATTTTATCCTTCGTTTCATATATATATATATATTTTTTTTTTTTCATTTTATTGTTGTTTGTAAAAGTGTATATAGATGTGTATACGTATAATACCATAAATTTGAATATTCCATATAAAAATGAAACTAAAAATTTAGTAGGTACCGACGTAGAGAAGAAAAAAAGGAGGAAAGGGAAGAGAAAAGTGTTAATAATAATATTAATATTAATAATAGTAATGAAGTAATAACGATAATGACGGTAGAGTAATAATAATGACAGCGTAATAATAATAATAATAATGAGGAGGAGGAGGAGGAAGAGGAGGAGGAGGAGGAGAAGAAGCGAAAGAAGTGACCTCGCGTACACGCGCACGCATACGTATACCGCACGGCATTCGCGCGTATATAATATATACGTATGCACGCGTTGTACGCGCGCGTTTATATGTACACCTACGTGACAGACTAGGTTCGTAATAAACTTTGGAGGAAACTCGGAGGCAGATGCAGGGGCAGGAGAAAGTCGTTGAAAAATCATAATTGATCGGAGTCGTTGCTCCTTCTCTCACAATTTTTCCCTTCCCGGAACCTAATTACGAGCTTAGGACCCGAATATACGATACGCGCGCAGATACGTTGCGTCGTATCGACGCGTTCAATAATTTAATCGAAAGGCTGAACGTGTATCGGGGGAACATTTGGAGAACCGACGATAGACCGATATCGTTGTTACACGGTCGAATACGAGGTCGTTGCGATTTCTTCCTCTCGTTTACACACGTGTGTACAACTGATCGCCGCGCTTACCATTCGACTTGCGCCCAATATATCCGACGATATCGTTATATCCGTTCGTTCCTCCTCCTCCTCCTCCTCCTCTGAGCGACCATGCTCCTTGGCATCCCATTAGTATATATAAAAAATATATTTGGAATACACGCTTTCTCCATATTGCATTTTTACCATTTCCATTCTCTCCGCAACTCTTTCTCTCTCTCTCTCGCGGTCTCTCCCCCCTCTCTCTCTCTCTCTCTCGTTTCTTGTACTATCCGTTTTTATACAGTTTGTAGTTTTGTATCGTTTGAACGACGACAACGATGACGACGACCGACGGCGACGTCGGAACGTCTTCTTCGTCCGTTTCGTAAGATCGACCCCCAGTTTTCGCGAACAATCTCACCCAATAAAAAATACCAATGGAGGTCTCGGAACATGGTTCACGCTCGACAATTTTCGTTCTCCTCGTTTTCTCTCGTCGCCCCCGGTCTCTCCTACTTGTATCGGTACGAGCCGAATGCGTTGTTCCGTCGTCTAATTAAACTTGGGTTAACGCGGAAGGTGCGCGCCGGTGACAAACCGTTCAGGCTCGGACCGTGGCTCGGCGTTCTTTTGTTCTCTGTTCCCATTTCCTTCGGCTCGCCGATCTCTACGTTAGACGCGTAGCTAACCGCGGCGATCGACAGTTTTATCACACCCTGGTCCCGCGACGCTTCGATTCCGCTTCGTCGAGGGAGCACGATTTTCACACGTCTCTCGCTCCGAGAGACGACGCGGTGGTTCGTCCCTTTGGTTCGCGGAGAGATGGCTCGTAGAGAAGCTCGTAAACGATTCGTTCCTAGCGAGAGCAAGGAAGACTACGCGATTCGAGGGTGAGACCCACCTTTCTCGAATCCCTTTTATGACTAGAATGATTCCGTAGATGCCATTCCCAGGTACACGAGACGCTCGGTGAACGAATTTCGGGACTGAGATTCGTGGGTGGTGCGCACTGAAATTTCAAGAGATCACACGCTCCCTATGCTCGAAACGGTACATCGTATCTATCGCTGTGTACCCGACACCTCTGCCTACGATCCTCGGCCCGAAAAATATAAATCTATGTGGACAAATGGACAGAAGAAAGGTGGCGGTGGCGGCGGCGGCGGCGGCGTTGAATCGCGAGAAATCAAGATGGAACTCATTCGATCGTGAGAGTCGAATACGAGACTGAGGAACGTACAGGAGGTCGAATCGTTCCAGGGATGATAAAAACTGGGAAGAGCGAAAAGGAACGAAATCGGAATTACCTTCGACGCCGATCGTCGACGATGAACCCCTGTCTACTTTCCCCACCGTCGCGTTTTGTAAAACGTTAAGCTCGTAAAAAGGATAAATAACGAACGCGCGCGATCAAGACATTGCACATCGAACGGGTTCTGGCCACCGATCGTTCTCGGACCGGTGAATACGAGAGGCGTCGAAGGTAAGACGAGAAAAGTCGAGAGGCCTTTCGGCCAAAAGGAACGCCGAGCCGGCTACTGATCGACCGTAGGAAATTTAAAGACTAAAGCCGAGCAAACCGCGGTTTTCGTTTCGGTGGAAGTACCAACGAGCATCATTCTCCGTCGGCGAACATTGGGGCAGGGTGGATGGCGGTTACCGATTGCTTCTCTGCTCCGAAGAGGAGGATCTACGGCTCCCGAGAATGAGAGAGAGAGAGAGAGAGAGAGAGAGAGAGGCAGAGGATTATCCGGTGAACCGAGCGAGCGGCCGTCGTCGCCGCTCCGTTGTACTCTTCTCTCGAGAGGAGATCGCAGGAAAGAACAAATACGAGAGAATTCTCGAGAGAGCGCGCGTCGACGCCGATGGAATGCACGGATTTCCTCGGTTCCGTTTACTCTCTACCCCTTTTACGCGTCGAACGCGTGCTCGTATTTGATATGTCAAAGGAAACGTCTCGGAAATTAAGAGGAAAAAAAAAGGAACGTGGAATCGTACGCGTAACGATATAATTGCGAGAGGAGACGGGCAGAGAAGAATTCGAGTAAATACGATGATGGTCGTTATTCGTTCTTTCTCAGTGGATCCGACACGCCGTCTCTCGTCTTCGTTTCCGCGTACCTACGTATATTGCTCGTTCGCTCGGTGCTCCCGTTCGTCGCGTCGATCTTTAAGTATACGATCGTTAAACGCCAAACGACTAACGCGAAATATAAATAAAGCTACGTCGGACGCTTATCGAGGAATGAAACCAAGTTTATATTCGCGATCGCCCGTATCGCTTCTTCCCACTTTCACTCGCTCTCACACATACCGATTTCTCTCTCTCTCTCTCTCTCTCTCTCTCTCTCTCTCTCTGCTTATCGCCTAACCATAGAATACGTACAGTTCAAACGTTTGTACTTTATAACTGACTAAGCAAGGTTTTTTTTTCATTACAATCATATATAATATTTCTTTCTCTCTTTCCTCATTTTTCGCTCTTATAATGTGTCTGTATATATATATGTGTGTGTATATAATTTCTTTTGTCCCTTTCTCTCTTCGCGCTTAACTCTATGACCGTTCGGATACCCCGTGTATTTTTCATTACTTATTACGCGTAAACGCGACCAACGAATCGTCGTTAAATAAATATTAACGAGGAATAAAACGTAAAAATGTTCGTAATGGTAATGATACGATCGATATATTAGCTGTAATGATAATAATTAATAATAATATGATCGCGATCGCGAACCGCATCTCCGGCTCTGTTCTTTAAATGTTGACGCGATCTCGTTCCTCGTCGCCGTCTTCTTGTCCATCCGTTCGTTTTGGCACTGAGCAATTCTCGATATACGCGTGTAAACGGACCGAAGAGAGTCCGCGGGAAGATCGAACGATGTTCGAGCGTTCTCGTTTCCTCTCTCGATCGGGGAAACCGGGACCGGTGAACGAGGACGAGGTAAAACTGAATCGTCGTCGAACGAAGGGTGGAACAAGGACAGCGAGGAGTCCTTAGGGATCGTTTGACGATCCACTCGGCGCTGCACGACGATTCGCGATCGCTATCATCTGCACTTCGGTCTACTTCAGTTTAGTTTAGTGTATTGTCTTGAGATCTACGCGTTGTCTTTTCCAACTTTTAAAAAGAAAAAAAAAATAATAATAGAAAAACAAAAAATGCAGAGCCTTACCGATAAAGTGTACACGTACACGTACGTATGTATATATTTATAACGTGGCCTTAAATTAGTCTACCTTTACCAAAGGAATCTATCGTTTAAAAAATGTTAATAATAGTCGTTAGCCGTCGTAAGAGTAACAGCGATACGGTATAATAATAATAATAATAATAATAATAATAATAATAATAATAATAATAATAATAA